ACTTTGATTTGGCACTTTTCACATCATTTTCCAGAACATTCCACAGTCTGACTCCTTGGATTGAGGTGCACCGTTCTTTCAAACATGCTCTAATTTCATGAACAGCTCTGTCCCCTTAAGATTATAATAGCTCACTCTCTTTGCAAAGTTTTCCTGGATGTTTATAGGTAACGTGTTTAGGTGAGCCTATACACAACTAACAAAATATTGTAATCAACCAAATCATAAAATTTCAATAATTTCAGTTTACAGAATAATATATTAGATGGATAATAGTAATGTTTTCGAGTGATTACTCTTATAGCTCTTTTTTGCAAAACAAAAACAGGATGTGTAATTGTCTTACATGCTTTACCCCATACCTCAACACAATAAAACAAGTGTGGAACAAGTAATGTGTTATATAACGTATACAGAGCTTTATCATTAAACAAGTCCATTACTTTATAAAGCAATGCAATAGATTTAGCTAGTTTTATTCTTAAGTAGTTAAATGAGGTTTCTATGTCAGTTTCTCATCAATAATAACACCCAAAAACTTCACCTCAATGACTCTACTAATCTCCGCACCATCAACTCTAAATGAAGTATTAACAGTTTTTTTGCTCATTATAAATATCATATAATTAGCTTTATCCAAATTGGGTGATAATTTGTTAAGTTTAAACCAGTTTTTATTTTCGCAAATTCTGTTTTCATTTTCTCTAGCATCCGTTCTGTCTTTTCCTGAACAAAAAAATGTGGTATCATCTGCAAATAGAACACATTTAAAGAGCCCTGACACATTAACCAGATCATTCCCATACAAGATAAACAACTTTGGTCCAAGTATAGAACCCTGAGGAGCACAACACGTAATTCCACATAGTTCAGATCTGACATCATGTACTTGTACAAACTGTTTCCTATTTTCCAAATAACCATTTGCATTGTAATGCTGGTCCTCTAATCCCATATTTATTTAACTTTTCAAGTAGAATGCTGTGGTCAGTCATGTCGAATGCTTTCTTCAAATTAACAAATACTGGTGCAATGTTGTTTTTGATCAATAGCATTTGTTATTTGTTCTGTCAGTTCCATAAGAGTCGTTGAAGTAGAGCTATTGACTCTAAATCCATATTGA